ATTTATATTTTTGAAATTGAGTATTACATTATTTACAAACCATGTATTTAGTTGTCAGTGGTTCTTAAGATCATTTATAAAGTGTAAGTAAATGATAAATAAACTATTTAAATGGTAGTTTTAAAGTTTAGACATATGATAATAGTAACTTAGTGTGTTAATAAATGCTTCATTATATGATATAGTCAGTTAGCTATTTTTGATAGACTATTTATGCCTTGTAAAGCATTTACAAAGGAGATTTAAAAGCTCAGTTATCTTCCAAACAGAAAAATTAAACAAACACAACACAGAGGGATACAGAACACAGAAATATTGTTTTTCAAGATGCAAAAAAACGACAACTTTAAATCTCCTTTGTAATAGACATGCTTATAAATCAAGAACAAGGCATTTATAGCTGTATTTATAAACTGCTTACTAATGCCTATTAATGTTGGGACAATGCTTTATAAAGGATGAACTGACTATTTACTAATGCTTACCTAATGATTCATAGTGTGCAGTTAGTAAGGTTTGTAATTCTAATCAGTTCCTCCTACTTGTTCAGGGATTGCTGCGCGCCATTCAGAATCCCTGACCTTTATCACGGAGAGCACCTCGACTGGGACGCCTGGAGTACCACACAATCTATCATCGCTGAGGCCACTGCTGGGCCTCTGGAGAATACCTGTGCATCCCGTACACAATACAACCCCAACATTGTGGTCAAGTTGGATTTGTTTCACTGTATGAGGCGTTTCACACGGGATCCCCTCTACAGCACCTTTTGTCAGCTCCTCTCCACTGCATTTTCTGTCGTGGATCAGGAAGACCTGCAGAAGCTCAAGGATGCTTATCAGTTCTGTGGAATTCAGCCACAAATCCTACAAAACAGCACATCAGAGAGCACTGTAAGACCCAAATCCTACAGCCAACAGAACTGGTCGACAGAGTGGAGAAAGTTCTTCGGCATTTCCACCTGACCACAGACCCAAACAACTTACCACTCTTCAAACCATCCATGCTGAAAACATGGCGTATCCAGAGGGTGCACATTCTCTGTGGGTGCCTCAGTGACCCTGAGGTCACAGAGGGAATCCTGTACAGGTATGGGGGAACTCTGCAGCTTAATCATGTTCCTGGTGAAGGCGCAAAAGTCCCCATATGGATTCCAGTCAGAGGGACCTCACAGCAGGAGGGGTATCATTTCCACCAGTCCCAGTGGATTACTGGAACTCATGCATCCTGCGAATTGTTTCAGGCCCAGGGCATGACAGGGGTGGCACGATGGAACTACCAAAGGCTTCTGGACCTTAAGCAGCCAGATGTAGTCCTCCCACCTGTGTTCGATCCATTACTGATAACTGAGCTAAATTCTGCTTCAAAGAACGTGACTGGAAAAGAGAAGTACCCTGTACTTCACCTCTCTGATAGGGACACGGGAGAGAAGTTTGGCCTTGAATACAGTGAGCCAGAGTGCCATCCAGTTCAACTTGATTGGAACAAACATAAGGTGCAAAAGAAAGATGATTCTTCTCTTCTTGTGCTTCTCCCCCCTGGCCCAACACCATCCACAAACCCACCACCACCCACTGCTGTGCCTGTGTCCCAGTTCCACCAACTTAAACCTGCTGCAATCCATAAGGTACAGATGTTGTCCCAAGGAAGCATGGAACCTCCAGTTAAAATGGGAAAGTTAATACCAATTTCCAAAACCATCATTTTAAATATCATTGTAAATGACTTTTTGTTCTTGTCAACATCATCTCAGTAAATGAGTAAAATAACAATTAACTTTTCTCTTCATTCCAGGAACCTCAAATATTCCACCCCTGCCTTTGCAGTCCTCACCAAGGAGTGCCCGCACTGGACCAATCAAGACTGGTGGACGAGTGTTCGTCTTAGACCACAAGCGCTGGACATCACCAATGAAGGAGGCTATCGACAGCCTCCTACACAATTACCATGGACAGAAAGACATGTTGAAGCTTGTGGATCAAGACTATGCAGCTATGGTCCCATCGGTCTGCCACAGATCCAAACAGTCTACTTCACCCCACAACCAAATACCATATAACACAGTACATAAAACACCTGGCTAAACAGGTGAACACAAGTTCATCACTGAACACCAGTCCAGAAAAACTTTTGGAGACACAAAAACTGTGGCAAAGTTTAACTGAGGAAAGTGAGACTGTCCATGTCCCAGTTGTAGAACTGCCACCAGCCATTGTGAATCCAGCAGATCCAGTCTCACAGCCAGCATCTGAACAGCCACTAACACAGGAGAATGTACAGAAAATAGTAAAGGATATATTGCTACATCAGCAGGAGCAGCAACAGCAGCAGCAACAAAAACCCAGACAAACTAAAAAATGTCTTGCGTGTGGGCAGCCAAAATCCCGCTACCAAAGTGATGGATCATCAATTCATCACTTTTATCAACAAGGGCCTGTTCGATATTACTACTGCTCCACTAAGGTGTTTAAAGCCTATTCTGCGGAGGGACTGACAAATCCTAGAATGGCCTTTGAAGAGTTTGCACAGACTGACTTCTTCCAGCGTGAACTGCAGTTAACAAAGCGCAGAGTGGAGGACAAAGCTGAAAAGAAGAGGAGACTCTCGAACCCTCAACCTCAGGGAAGAATGTGCCGTTTCTGTTGCACAGAGTTAAAGCAGGGCCCAAACAGCAAACATATCCACACAGGGTTTCCAGCAGTGGCAGGAAAATACATTTACTGCCCTGCTAAAGTCCTCAACTTATACAAAGACAGAGGCATGACAAAGGAAATGACATGGAAGGAATTTCAAGCCTCATCATTCTATGGCATGGAAAAGGAGAGGTGGGCAGCAGAGAGAAAGAAATAGACATCCTGAACGTGTATACATACACTTGATACGTGTCAGGGATTCATCACAGTCACTTCAGTCACCATCCAGAATAATTACCCGATCACAGTCACCTGAGTTCTGATCACCCGCACCTGCTGTCACCAATCAAGCCACACTACAAATACACACACAGCACAGTCACTCACTGTCCAGTCTACCGTTCACTCCTACGAACTGCTCTGGACTCTCTCTGCCAAATTCTCCATAGAACGAATTACCTGCTGTTCCTCCCGCGATCCTCCAACGACTCCTTGGAAACTGTTCCACGATCTCCAACGTAACCGGCATCCGATCCTCACCATCAGAACTCAGATAAGCACCCTGGAACCATTCACTGTGTTGACACTCACCTGCCTTTAACACACCTATTCCAGTCATCCCCTTACCCAGTCAATAAACCATCCTGATTTGCACTTACCTGTTGTGTCTGGCCTTGCTTTGTGACA